TGTTCGGGTGGTCCCATCCTGGGCTGGGTAAGGCTGGGGGTGACTGGGGCGGGGCTGGGGTGGCGGGGGTGTGTGGGGTGCCCATGGGGTCCCATCCCACCCCTGCAGGCTCTGTCTGGACGTGCCAGGCAGTGCTGGGTATGTCTGGGGTGTGGTCGGGGCAGTGCTGGGTGTGGATCTGGGTGTGGCTGGAGTGTGTCCCGTGTCCATGGACCCTATCCCACCCCCCAGGCTCCAGCTGGACATGCCGAGCGGTGCTGGGGGACGGGCACCAGCGCACCGTGCGCAGGGTCGCCTGGTCCCCCTGTGGCTCCTACCTGGCTTCTGCCAGCTTCGACGGCACCACCTGCGTCTGGAAGCGGCAGGAGGATGGATTTGAGGTGAGACCACCTCCCCAGAATCCCCCCAGCCCCCTGGGGCCCTCCAGCCCATCCCAGCCTTTGCTGTCCCCCTGCAGTGCGTGGCCACCCTCGAGGGGCACGAGAATGAGGTGAAGTCGGTGGCCTGGGCACCCTCGGGGTCCTTGTTGGCCACATGCAGCCGAGACAAGAGTGTTTGGGTGTGGGAAGGTGAGGAGGGGCTGGGGGGGGGGCTGGGAACGACTGGGGGGAGGTGTTCAGGGGCTCAGCCAGACGCCCCTGACCACTCTGTCCCCCCACAGTGGATGAGGAGGAGGAGTACGAGTGTGTGAGTGTCCTCAATGCCCACACACAGGACGTGAAACATGTGGTGTGGCACCCGAGCCAGGAGGTGAGAGGGGGGACCTCCCAGAGTCCCCCCGGTCCCATCCTGTCTCCCCCCCGCCCCCTTCCAGCCCCTCCTGTCCCATCCAGAGTCATTTAGGGTCACTTTGCCCCCTCACCTGCCTCCCCAGCTCCTGGCCTCTGCCAGCTACGACGACACGGTGCGTCTGTACCGGGAGGAGGAGGATGACTGGGTGTGCTGTGCCACCCTGGAGGGACACGACTCCACCGTCTGGGCCGTGGCCTTTGACAAGGAGGGGGAGCGTCTGGCGTCTGTCAGCGACGACAGGACCCTCCGGGTGT